CAACGGCTTAACGTGCCTTCCGAAGCATGGAGGAGCTCGAGATAGTAATTTTTGGTCACCCATCCAATGACCGACCACTGCGAAAGTTGCTTTAGTTCAACGATCGCGGCCGAATACGCTAACCACTTGCGCCATCGAGCTCCGAGCCAATTAACTTACAACAAATGCCATCTCCTGAATTACATCCTATAAACTACAAACACAATCAGTGTGTCAGGCTGTCAGGCACGCAGCGAGTCAACACTTTATATTGGCTATTAAACTGGCTGTTAATAAAAAAATGGCCAAGAGATAGTCGTGCCTTGCTCAGTGTAGGGTTCCGTGGTTGCCTGTCGTAACCACAATATATTTTAGTAGAAGTCTATGGCCCGTATTAAAGAAAAAATCTCAGTAATTAATCTAGTCTTGAGCATAGATAGAAAGGGATGTCGCTATATATAGCACATAGCGACATCCCTTTCTAATTGTACTCAAGTAAAGATCAACACTTAGTTGTCATTCTGTAATACAAGCCTGAATTTTCTATACCGGAAATTAAAAAAAAAACAATTGTTCAAACTACGTATCTGAACTAAAATACCTAAATCAAAGTCAAACTGATGATGAATGATATTATTGTTTCTAAACGTAACGATAGCGCGATTCTGAAGCCGTTGCCGTTGGTACTCACGGTAGCCTTCTGTAACTAATCATATTTAAGTGTGGTTTTAAAAAAGGTTTTTTTAGATTAAGTTTTTCAACGTAAGCTTTTACGATACAATAACTTCATCTATGTCGTTATTAATGTTTTCTTCAAAGAAATTTTCAATGGGTAAGAAATTTTCTTTAACCAAAGTTGAACGACTATTTTTCAACTAATAAATCTGTCTTAACCGTTATAGTATTCCAAAGCTCATGAAAAGGACTATTGAATTAATTTAAAATTTATATTAATTTTTCCAGGTTTTCAAGCCAATAGTTTTTTTAAAAGCTTTTAGAGTTCAATAACTTAAACTCCACTTTCAGAAGCTAGCTAGTGTCATGTCGTTATTATTGTCAGAACATTTAAGCCTTACAAATGCATTATATATTATATAAGTATTTAACTATGCATATGTGAGGAGCGTATTAGAATACGCGAGTCAAAAGGTCACCATGCAAGGGCGGATCCAGCTTTGGCGCCAGGGGGGGGGGTCATTAGTCGTGGTCAAGACACAAGGTACAGATTTTGAAGTAAAGATGGACCCGGCCCAGGGGGGGGGGGTCGTGACCCCCATGACCCCCCTTCTGGATCCGCCCTTGTCTCCATGTTACGCTATTCATATAAAACGTATTGAAAGTCTTTAAAAAAATATATATAAAGGTTTTGGACTATCAGGATCACTCAGTCTCTGTAAATGTAAAGAAGGATGGTGTGTTCGACAGCTACGAAAGTAACTGTCTTCGATTTTCTTTCGACTGATTCGATGAGCGTCGTGCTGTACTGTACCCTTAGTACGAGTTTGAGCTCACGAAAACTATCATAGTTTTCGTAATTGTAAATTATGTTTCTATGTCCATTTTGGTGAAAAGTAACCAAATATGCTCAAAATTTAAGAAGACGCAAATGATTAAATGATAGAATTCAAACACTGTTTATTTGTATTGATACGAATACAATAAAATCAGTACCCTTAGTACGAGCGCGAGCTCACGAAAACTATCATAGTTTTCGTAATTGTAAAACTCGTACTAAGGGTACTGGATGCCGGATTTCTGTATGGTATACTGAACGGGCGACTTGACTGTCCTGATTTGTTAGCTCGTGTCATTTTTAATGATCCTACTCGCAGAACTAGACACACTCCTTTGTTTAGTGTAGCATCCTATTCTACCAATTACGGACAGAATAGTGTTTTTACTAGAATTCTGAACACTTATAATAATAATAAATATTCTTTATTGCACACAACAAAGGACACAAGACAAAAACAAATAAAACAGTAGAAAGAGTACAATAGGCGGCCTTATTTCTAAACAGCAATCTCTTTCAGGCAACCTATGGTAGAAAAGGAATAATAATAGAGAGATATAGAAGGGTGCAAAAGTAGATACAGGAGTTATACTTACATATATATATATATATATATATATATATATATATATATATATAAGAGAAGCAAAGAAATAGGATATTAAATGAATTTAAGATAAAGAAAGGAAATAGCTTTTAACTTGATCGCTAAAGGAATTAAGCGAACGAGCTGATACTCTCAGGAAGTGAATTCGAAAGTCGAGCAGCGTGCACAGAAAAGAAGTAAGAATAGAAGTCAGAAGAGTGACAGGGAATCTCAAGAAGTAGGTTAGAAGAGGATCATAATAGAAAGTTGACCCATTCATAAACTCAAAAAATACACGCAAATCAAATATTATTAGCACATTATTAAATTCATCAACATAGATTCGTAAAATAACTGTTATCACAGTGATAGGATTGTGGTATAACAACCTTTAGCAAATTGTGTACTCAAACTATAAACATGATTTAATTATTGTAACAATAATCAGTATGTATACAAATGGTATATAACCAATACCTATTTAATTCTCATTTCTTCAATTTTCATTTCATCATTCAATTATATTGAACTGACTCGCTCTCTGGGTATTTTCTTAATATTAGTTAGTTACTTTTATTTTAATTACATCCTTAAGAATTCCAAAATGAACATATAACATACGAGACTGTTTCTTTATAACTATATAAATAATTAATAGTGGGTGACTGTTAATGGCCTTACATGTAACTGTAAACCAAAAATGTTAAACTTAATTGATGGCTGTTGTTATCCCAAATAAATAAATAAATACATAAAGCATCATCACCGATCTGTAATATCCCCGCTGTTGGGACACAGGCTTTCTCTATAAATAGAATAGGGAGTTTGGGCCGTGACCCACCACACGGGCCTAGTGTGCATTGGACTGCAGATGCAGCCAGGACCATAGGCTTAACGTGCCTTCTGAAGCACGGAGGGCCTCGAAATAATATGTTTTTGGTCACCCATCTAATGACTGACCATTGCGAAAGTCGCTTACCTTACGCGATCGCAAGTGGAATGCTAACCATCTGTACTTGATGGTGCTCCTCTAAACTAAAATCTCATTAATAAAAATCTATTATATCGTGAAAAAATAAAGATGTCTATCTCCTGGAATTGTTGAAGTCTTCTTGGTCTTTCTTCTGGACATAGCAATTTATTCCTACTTATAACGTAGCCCAAGGTGTGAAAAACATACCAAAAAATAACTTTATATACTCGCATCCAGCTCCTACTTTAAATGATCCTCAGCATGCCAAGGAGGATCTCCGCATGTGTTCTAGCCAGAGGAGGAATTATTTTGTAGTAGATAAACAACAATTTATTAATAAAAGTTGTTTTTTTCAAATCAGACCATTAGGATAAAAAATCAGGATGATTTTTGCGCGTTCAACCAAAAAATGGTGCATTCGGAACAACGAGTCCTAAACTACGCAACAAAATTATCATTATCATCAGCCTTTTAAAGTCCCCACTGCTGAGGCACAGGCCTTACCTATGAATGAAATAAGGAGATCGGGCCATGACGCACCACGCGGGCCAAGTGCGGATTGGTGGGTGCTAACGACTGCAAATGCAGCCGGGACCCTTGGTTTAACGTGCCTTCTGAAACACGGAGCTCGAGATAGTAAATTTTTGGTCACGCATCCAATGACCGACCACTGCGAAAGTTGCTTAACTTCAACGATCGCAGCGACGCTCTAACCACTTGCGCCATCGAGCTACTCTACAAAATTTTCACTATTAGTTAAATAAATTTTCATGGATGGTTTATAATTATTTAAAGAAATTCGTTGTGTTTAATACAAATCTGTGAACAAAAACTATAGTCTACACTACAGCTCTACACCGAAGCGAAGCGAGGGCGGGCCACTAGTAAACTTTAATTCGACAATGAGCAACAAACATACAAACTTTCAAATTTATAATATTATTAAGATTAGGGAAAAATATGTTATGCTTGTAATAAAAAGTTATTTATATCAAAATATGCTTATTGGTTTTTCCCAATACCTACTTTGAGACTAACTTTACTTCACTGTCTGCATGGAAATTTAATAATCGAATTATGATAAAAATTTCCTGGAATATGTTATCTCAATACACTTTCATACGCGCAATACTTTCCCTATTATTGTGCATGTCGTAACAACATAGTCATGCGATAATTTGGACATATTATTGTCCTATAATTAGCATATGTAGTGAAATAGATCGTGTAAATATTGGAAAGTTCGCAATTCCTTTCTTTCTATTAACACTTACATGTCAATATCTCCTCTTATGGAGCAACTATGTATGCTGTCTTCATATTATATCCGTTCACTCTGAGATGAAAACACAGAAGTTATAGCACGGAAGGTGAAGCGATTTTTATTAAGTTTTAAATTTATAGGTTGTAGTAAATTATTATTGATTTATCTAATTATGTGTTTTAAAATGCGGTTGAAGTCATTGATGGCAATTATATTAATAATGTCATACTTGTTTACGTGTTGTGAGTGTTCGGAGCAGAGTATTGTAGAAACGAGAGGGAAGAAAAAGAAGAAAACAATAGCTACATTTGGTAAGTGGTTTTGTTTTGTTAATTAACTTCCGCTGAGTTTCGCAAAGCGCGTGTATTTTAATGTTTAAAGTTGGGTTAACACGAGATGGAAAAACTTTCTTACACCTTTTAGGCAAGTAGGGCAATTACTTGACTTTCATATTGCCAAATCAAAGCGTGTATGACGTATCGATAACTATAAAAACATCTTAGGCTATAGAAATAAAATATATATATATATATCTCGTCGCCGTAGAGCGAAAAGTTACCAAGTCGACATTTGACCAAAATATTTTTCATAATAAAATTTTAAATATGAAATAAATAAATACATATTTCCAACACTCACACTAATTAGCCTAGCTCCAAAGTAAGCACTGTAAGGCTTGTGTTATGGGATGCTAGGGTAACGGATAGAAGACACATAGACATGTACTGTACATTACACTGCGTTACACGATTTTGGTACCCTCTTAACTGTTAGCTGGAATGAATAGGTAATAAGTCATAGATTAAATGTTCCAAACATATGTGGTATCCATCACGTCTAGTTTTCGAGGTACATGTCAATTATTATTTTCTAGAACCCTCACTTTATCTCAAAGTTATTTTGCTCAAATTACAGGGCGGATTTACTAAATACTGTTGTTTTCTTTGTATGTGGGACAGCAGAGCCACAGAAAAACACTACATTACAAAAGTATGGCCAGAATGGTCAGAGTTTGTATGCGGAAAATCTAATGTGAAACATGTACCATTGATAGATCCTAAAAATGTTATTTTACCACCACTCCACATAAAACTTGGTTTGAAGAAAAATTTTGTGAAGGCTATGAATAAAGAGGGAGATGGATTTTTATATTTCAAGACAGTATTTTCAAAGTTAAGTGACGCCAAACTCAAAGAAGGAATATTTGTGGGACCACAAATACGTACTTTGATAAACGACCCAAATTTTGACAAAAAGCTTACTAATACGGAACTTGATGCCTGGTTGTCACTGAAAGCAGTTATAAAAGGGAACCACAGAGCCGAAAATGCGGAACAGCTAGTGAACGACAAGATAAAAGCATACGAAAAGTTGGGTTGCAGAATGTCATTAAAAATTCACTTTCTTCATTTTCATTTTTCTTTTTTTCCATCTAATCTTGGTGTGGTTAGTGATGAGCAGGGTGAGCGGTTTCACCAGGATGTAAAGAAGCTTGAAGAACGATTTCAAGGCCGTTGGGACACAACTATGTTAGGTGATTACTGTTGGCGTTTAAAACGAGAAGATCATTCGAAACACAAAAGAAAACGTTGAAGTTTCACGATATTTTTTATAAAAATTTCATAGATAATATTTTTGTTGACTTTTTTTACTTAAATGATAAAATTAGGCTTAATTAAAGTAAAAAAAATTGGTTGATTTTATAAGATTTCTTTAAAATATGTTTTGACGTTTTAATTTCTAATATAAAATGGCACTCTCTTGCGGAAAAAAAATGAGACGTGATGGAAAGAAAATTTGTATGTATGTTTATTAAACGATACGTATAAATAAAAAATCAGGACATTTCAAGGCGGGTACTCAATTTTATTGAAAATTTGTAATGCAGTGTTATTTATATGTATAGATATACATATTAAACATCCATAACTGGAGTACAAATGCTCGTAAATGCTCGAATCCCGGGAGGGGCAGATGTTTGTGTGATACAAACATCTGCCCCTACCGGGATTCGAACCCGGGACCTCTCGAGTTGGCGACACCATGAAACCCGGCGTACAAATCACTCGACCACGGAGGTCGTCAATGAAGAAAGAGTGCAGGAAGCTACTGGAAATTTTCATAGAAAACTAGCAAACCCCGCGAACTCCGTTTCGCCACCAGATGGCTTCGTTTTATGTAACATTTCGTTTGGTGATTAAAAAAGATTTTTTTTTTTAATTTTTCCTGAATTTTCTTTGCTATAAACCTCACGGAGCCCGAGACCTTTCCAACGAATGCAAAACCGTGGAAATCGGTTCGTGCGTTCTGGAGTTATAGCGTCAGGAAGGAAAACCCGACTTTTTTATATAGTAGATAAACCATGCCGTCCAGGCAGCAGATGGGATCGAATTTGTACCTTCCACTATCTGGGTGGACGCATTAACCAATTATGCAATCGCGACCTTAGTAGTAGTAAGAGAAATTACTTACTATCCTATGGGGAGAGTAAGTACAATAAATCATAACTAGGAATATAATTAATCCATGACAAAATCAACTTAAATGACTTGATTAGTTTTAGAATGAGTGGTTATGTGTTTTTAAAATGACAAAAACGCAGATTAAAAGTCACTAACTCTTTATACAAGTCGATAACAAAAGAGGTCGGAACTGGATTTGAGGGTGAAAAATAACTGAGTTTCTTTTAGTTATAATTTTTATTATTTTTTTAAAGCCTGTAAACGCTTGATGTTTAAATCTAAAGAAAATATAACTAGAAAAAAATCCACGCGGACCAGGCAGCAGACGGGACTCGAACCCGCACCCTTCGCAATCCGGGCGAATGCACTGACCAATTATGCTACCGCGGCCCTCACGGACCGCGTCGAAATTCTTCTAGCCATTCTTAAGCTACAAGGCAGCGCCATCTCTGGTCTGGCTGGTCCGCGTCGAATTTTTTCTAGTTATATTTTCTTGAGTTTCTTTTTTTTTGGTTTTTCAGTAATTATCTCTAATTTATTAAACGTAATAATGTTAAGCGAGGCACCTATCACAGCAATAATGCACACACTAAACTACTTTCGTTTAGTTGGAAAAATGGATAGAAATTGAAAAAAAAAAACGAAAAAAATATTCACTTTTATCATTCTAAAGAAAAGGATATGACCAATGGTTTTTAATATTTGTTGTAATCGCCAAAAGAAATGCACATTCACTTTAAATCTCTTAAATCTGTCTATGATGTTTCATGAATGAATGAATATTCTTTACTGCACTAAGAAACACTTTTTCAGAAATACAAAAACACGGAAAGCTTAACACAAATGGCGGCCTTATCTCTAGGGTAGCAATCTCTGCCAGGCAACCTTTGGCTAAACGAAACTATACTAAAGAGGGGGAAAAATAGCGGGTTAGTGCATTCTATTATTAATTAGTTGATATAAGAGCACAGTTAAATAAAGTAAATATAAGTTAAATAAAAAAAATACAAAACAATATACAGAGAGAGAGAGCAGACAGAGTCCAGCTTGAGGAAATGGTCCTTAAGAGCCCTTTCACATTTTTTACAAAAAAAATGTAATTTTTGAGCGCCTCGTTTACCCCCTTCGAAAAGATTTTGACTATTTCCAATAGCAGAAAACAGTAGATTTATTCTTCCTATTGGTAGTTAATGTAAATTATTTACAAATACTATTTTACTTTTTTTGGACTGGTCGTTCTACCGCAGCTACTTTACGGAAAAAACGATAATATGCACAACTTTAAAGGCCTCAATCTCTCAATAATGTTCAATAAATTAGATCAAATTAATTACTACGATATCAGAAATATATTTTTTTGTAAAATTATGTATTAGAATCTTGATTTTCCATCTCATTAATTATTAAAAAAAACATCTAACCCCCGTGAGTTTTCCCAAAAAATAATGCAGGTTTACCTCGTATTTTGATATTGAATTAAATAGACTTTCTATCAAAAACTTTCATAAAACTAATTTACAATCATTGAACTACTGAAACATGTATATATTTTTATAATAAGTTCAATATTTATTATTTTATAAGACTCGAAACATCACCATCAAACGTGCAAATCAATTTTGTTCAGATCAGCTTTCAAATCAGCAATTTTGTAAAAGGGCTCTTAATAATAATAACAGCGGAGTTCTTAGACTGTGCACGCTTTATATCTACAGACGCACGGACAATCTATAATTAGCCTATAGATTATTATTATTGATAGGCTTATTATTGCGAATAACAAATTTAACATACCAACAATACAAGAAAGCCGCCACGGTGGGGTGATATACACTGGTGGACACCGGTTTTTTGAGTCTAAGGTCCTGGGGTTCGAATCTCAGTGGAGCAAATGTTTGCATGATCAATAAGTTACATTCGCGTCTAAGGCCGCATTGTTTCATGTAAAGTATATTTGACTATAGTTAAATCGTATCGAAAAAAATAACAAAATAACAACGCGGCCTGTCATGGCTGTTCTATAATGTATTTCTTAAAAAAATAATACTTATCTATGTATTATACATATTTCTGCCATAACACAAACCTTAGGGCGCTTGTTATAGAAACGATTTTTACTCGTCTACTTTCGGCCGTCAGTTAGGTTTTTTTTATAGCCAGGTATGCAAATGATTCTACTCCACCTACTGTTAAGTGGTGATGAAGTCCAAACGCGAAGATAGCTGGTACAGCAATTATGAACTGCCACACCAACCATCCTCACCTTCTAGGATAATATGAAGGTTTGCTAGCGACACCGGCGCTACCGACGGTTTGGGAACGTACAACCGTGTTCGCAAACATGCTTACACCGGCCCGGGTAAAAATTTGGTAAAAATTGTCCCTTTAACAAGCGCCCTTACAGTGCTTACTTTGGTAAAGGCTGACTGATGTTACGTTCTTATTAGTGATTATTATAACGAATGCCATTTTTTGAACATTCGCGAATGCGAATGCGGATGCGAATATCTGGTACCGACATTCGCGAATGCGAATATTCAGTTTTTGTTGAAGATTACCGCCAATTGTTTATGGCATGGTAGCAGTCTCGTTCGAATTGCCGAGTTGATATGAACTCATCCAACTGAAGTTTCATTTCGCTGTCGCCGGTCTTTTCTTAAACAAAACAAGTGAATTTTGCTGTTAGTTTGAATAGTGATTTAGTAACCTGAGTAAATCAAATTCCAGTAAAATATGGACACAATGAATATTCAAGGAAAGGAAGAACTACAACTTCTTCAAATTGTTTTTCTCTAATATTCATATTCGCAAAACATTCACAGAGATTTTGCAAATGCGAATGTGAATGCGAATATGCAAAAATATGCGAATATTCGCGAATGCATTGCTTTTGCGAATATTCGTTACATCACTAGTTCTTATGTGTTCACAGAAATTAAAGACAATACCTTTATTCCCCTTTCAGTTTTCCTCGCCGATTTGGTACTGAAGAAGTTCTTCTTCCTCAAGCTGGCGTACGCGTTCGTGTTTTGGATAATTCTACACAAGGCTGGCTACTTCCTCGCCTGGTTCGCTTCCTACCTGAAAGAGCAGAAACATCAGCACCACTATGCTGATCATCATGACCATCCACACCATGATTACCAACCGTCGTACAGCCACGGACCGTATAGAAGGAAAAACTATGGAAAACTCTAGATCTATGAAATATATTTTGGGATATCACTTATGGATTCATTGTAGGACATAAACACAAAGGCCTTTCTTGCCTTCTAGTGGAATTATTAACCAAGCGCCTTCTTAATTTAGTGGCGACGAGTACCGCTGCCATCTCTTACAATCAGTAAAATGGAGTTACCCGCCGAACAAGCCAACCGGACTTTTGGGTCCCTCGAACGAACGGATGCCGAAAAAAAGTATTTATTGACCAAAAGTTCAGAAAAGACACATGTATTTTATATGAGAATTTTGAGTGTTATTATCATTTTCATTTGCATATTTTTCATTACTCGTCTCATGAACGGCTTGCAAACTCGAGTAGAGTGAAGTGTGCGACTTGCTTTCGTCAAATTGGCCTGGACAAGAGATCGATAACCTTACACTGTCCGGTTTTACCCGAACAGATGGCAACGCTAGTGGCGTGTGACGTTTGGCGCCCCATAGATAATCTACTCAATACAGGAAAAAAATTGTTTGTACGGACCAGTTATCTGAAGTGAAACTTCTTTTCTTATATAATCTAACATTAGGAGGTGCATAAGGCATAGGGGAATGGAGCAAAGATCTTTGCTTCTTACACACCTGCGTATATCAACACAATCTTCGAACGCGATAAATGTAAGTGTGGTGAGTCAGTCAGAGTACCACTCATGCGTTGCCTGTGTACCTGACCCCATACTCTAATCCGTGGAGTCCTGGAAACCTTGGGAACATTGTGTGCGCGCGCGTACAATATTTATTGATGGGAAATATATGAAAAGCATGAAATGAGAGAATGCATTGGAGTGTGCTTGGTTTAAAAAACCAATAACAGTATGCTTGATTTATGAGTTGTTTTAATATTTAGGATATTTTTTAATCATTACAGGAATGTACTGTTTTTTTTATTTTACCAGTATTAGCATTATGAATTAAATAACTTAACACTTTTGTACTGTGAATTTATTTCAAATAATAAAATTAATGACAAGTTTATTTAATAATTTATTGTTTTGAGATTATTATTACTACAAAAAATACTTCCAAAAAATAAATCCACTGTAATAATAAAATAATATTACAGTGGATTTATTGTTTGTTTAATGTTCTACCGTTGTCAACTAAAAATATATGCTCTGGTAGGTAGGTATAGGTTTTCTTCTTCTTTATGTATATCGTGTAAAAACTGTAAATCTAGCCGAACCTTAAGCTGCGTATACGCTAGACGAGCCGAGCGCGAGCGGAGCGCAAGCCGAGCCGCTCGCTCGCAGTGTCAAGTGTGGACGTGCAACGAGATCAACAACC